CACCTCGACCAAAAGGGCCAATGGATAAATTTGCTTATCAACATCCTAGAAAAGTTGTTGATGATAGAAATCGATTGAAGAGGTTGAAGCAATCCACTATTACTGAAAAATATGATAAAGAGATGAGGGATGGTACAGTGCAATTCATCATGCATTGGATATCAAGCAGGTATTCCTCTAAATACTAATTGCTTGAGAAGTTTTGAAGTAATACTAGAAGCTGTGGGACAATTTGGTCCTTGTTTGATACCTCCTTCTTATCATGAAGCTTAAGTAACGTACTTGAAAAAAGAAATACAGTACACAAAAAATATAATGGGCGATCATGAGGTAGAATGAAAGAGTAATGGTTGTTCGTTGATGTCAGATGGGTGGACTAACAGGAGGGATAGGACACTAATCAACTTTTTGGTTCATTCATCTGTTCGAACGATATTTTTGGAATCCATCGATGCATCTTCATGCATAAAAACTGGAGAAAAGATTTTTCAACTTTTAGATGGCATGGTAAATAAAATTGGAGAAGAAAATGTTGTCCAAGTTGTGACGGATAATGCCTCAAACTACGTCCTAGCTAGCAAACTTTTAGAAGCCAAACGACCTCATCTATATTGGACACCATGTGCAACTCATTGTTTAGATTTAATTTTAGAGGATATTGGAAAGATTGATCAGGTTAAAAGGTGTCTTAGAAAGGCTGTGGCACTTAGTGGTTTTATTTACAATCACTTGTATGTGCTAAGAGAATTTACTAATCAACATGAATTGGTAAGACCAGCAGTGACTCACTTTGCAACTTCATTTTTAACCTAGTTAGTATTCACAAAAATAAAGCTAATTTGGGGAAGATGTTTATTTCTGAGAAGTGGACAACCTCTAAATGGGCGAAGGACCCAAAAGGGAAGAGAGCAGCTGAAACCGTTATGATGTCGTCCTTTTGGAATTCGGTTGTGTATACTTTGAAGGCATCGAGTCCTTTAGTTCGTGTGTTGAGGCTCATTGATGGTGATAATCCAGCTATGGGTTATATTTACGAAGCTATGGATAGGGCAAAAGAGGTGATTAAGAGTGGTTTCAATGAAAATGAGGCGAAGTATAACCGATTTGGGAGATTATTGATAAAAGGTGGGATTACCAACTTCATCGGCCTTTACATACAACCGGATATTATTTGAATCCATCTTTTTTCAATGACAACAAAGAGAGAATTATGCAAGATCCTGAGGTCATGGATGGTCTGATCAGAGTTGTGGAACAATTAATACCATTTATCGATGACTAAGTTCAATGTACAATCGAATTAGAATTGTACAATGAAGTGAAAAGCATGTTTGGGAGTACTTTAGCAGTAAGGATGAGGGGTGTTAAAACACCAGGTAATGATATTATTTATTACTTTTAGTTTTAATAGACATATCTAAGTTTGAACTACTAAAAGTCTAAATCATTTGTTTAATATGTGCACTACTGCATGGTGGTCTCTTTATGGCGTCAATGCTCCAATTTTACGAAAGTTAGTCATGAGAGTCCTTAATCTAACGTGCAACGCTTCTGGTGTGAGTGCAATTGGAGTGTTTTTGCACACGTAAGTGAGAATAATTTGGTTTTTCCATTGTTAATTGAAGATTTAAAAATTCAATTTTGACTCTAAATTCGTTAATAATTTATTAATTTTGTAGATTCATTCCAAGGAGAGGAACATGTTAGAGCAAAAACGTCTTAATGACTTGGTTTATGTAAAATATAACCTAGCACTTAAAGAGCGCTATACTCTATTGGACCAACTTGATCCGATTTCTTTGGATCATATTAATGAAAGTAATAAATGGTTGATTGGAACACTCGAAGAAGAAGGTAGTTAAGAAGAAAATGAATTGATCTTTGATGATGATGACCTCGCATGGGGAGATGTAGCCGAGGCTAGTGGTGTTGGAGAGCCCATAAGACAAACTAGATCTACATCAACAAGATCTAAAGGAAAGTCGTCTGCTACTCCCACTCCCACAACTTCTAGAGTTCGAAAATCAGTACCAGTGGTGGTTAGTGATGATGATGATGACACCAAAGAATAAGAATTAGAAAAGGAAGATTGTGAGGACGACCAAAATGAACGGAATTTAGATTTAGATGAGGATGATGATCTTTGATCACTTATATTTACTTTTGTTCTATTCCAGACTCTAGTATTGCTTAATGTTGCTTGTCTTTATTTGGAACTAAACTTATAGAATTTGGTTTTTTTATGTATCTTGTTGACATTTACTATGATACTATTTTGGTATTGATTTTTTAAAGGTTTACTATATAAATTTATGCACTATATATATCGACCCCCAACCATTTACCATTTACTATGACCAAGATGAATGGTCGGGGGTCGATATGCCAACTCTGGACAAAGATGAGTGTCTAGGCCTTAGCTATGCGTGGTTAGGGGTCGACGTAGTGAGTCTTAGTGGAAGGCAAGTATTGGGGTCTTGAGAGGAAATGACAATGGCCAATATGTTGCAAAGTCATTGATGTCTTAGCTATGCGTGGTTAAGGGTCAGTGTAACAGTTCGGGGCCTTGGGAAAATGGTCAGGGGTAGAACGCCAAGCGCCATAGAGAAGTGTCGAGGCATTGGCTATGCGTGGTCAAGGATTGGTATGACTCGAAAGAGTAAGTCTTGGAGGAATAGGAAAGAGAACTGTAGTGAATTTTGTCATATGAGACTTGGACTGCGCATGTAGGATGCATGTTTAATCAAGCATGTGCATAAACTGTTTCTTTTATTTAAAGCAATGATATTAACGATAAGCATGATATTTTTGTTGTTTTATAAACATGTTGTTTATATGTGACCCTTCAAGTAAGGTATGCTTATTGAGTACTAATGTTAGTACTCACCCTCCTCCCCTTTCTCCTTCAGATTTTGTAGATAATGAGGTAATCTTGCGAGAATGGTGATAGAGAGAAGGAAACTTGACTGGAAGGACTATATAGCGCTGCATCATTTTATTTTCACTATCTAGATAGGATAGTTGGAGTTGTTTCTTATTTATTTATTTTTCTTTTTTTTAGTTTGAGTTGTTATTTGGTTGATAGGTTAGTTTTATTTAGTTCCTATTTGAAGGATTTTTTAAACTGCCAAGTTGTAACTCTTTTGAGAACTCTATTTAACAGGGTTGAAACTTATTGAGGTTATAGATTAATAATTTTGTTCAAATCGAAAAATAAACTAAACTAGCTTTTACTTCTTTGGTATTTTGAAAGTTGATTTTGAGACTTAGTAAGGTTAGTAAAGTTGCTTAATTGAAGTTGCTGTTTAAAATGTAGTTATGTTCTCATGTTCTTTGGGTTGTGTTGAGCTGAATAGGAGATTTTAGTAACGTGTCCCTTTTGAGTTGTTAGAAATTTGAGGGGCGTTACAGACTGGTCTAAAAACTAGGTCGTTTAGTTTTATGGTCTTTCTTGGTCTCCTTTCTATCACCAGGTACGTGGACTTGTTATCTTATGGTTGATTGACTTACGGACTTATTATTCTTTATGTTTTTACTTGATTTGCTTATGTTTTCTTATGTTTGTTTTATGAGTTGTTATGTTGATGCTTGTGTGTTAGTTAGACATAGGATGCTCCCTAGTTAACTAAATAGTTGTGTGCTTAACTTCGTGATGCTTTTGCTAATGTGTATTGTGACTCAAGGTGAGTCATTCTCTTATTTTATTGTTGCTTATTAGCGAGTGAGCATAGAGTTGGAAACTGTTGGATTAAAGTTCTAGTATAAGAGTAGTGCAGTGGAAACGTGGTGAGAATCTATTATCGTTTTGTGTTGCTAGTAGTTTAATTCTCTAATACGAGTGGAACTTTTAGGTTTTTAGTAACAGTCCTTGTTTGTTTGTACCCTTCTTCTCTTGAAAGTGATAGTATTGTAATTATCATAGCTTTAAGTATTCTTTTTTAAATTGGTCCTTGTTCCCTCTATTCAGTTTTGTAAGCGAGTCTTAAGTTAGAATCATTAAGTTGTTCGGTAGGTTATGATTGACCCAAAATTTATGGTACTACAATTCCTTTGGTATATTTTTTTTTTTCTTACCATTCACTCTATATATTTGCTTTCTATGTTGTTCATTAAAAAGAACGATTTTATATAAATTTGAGATTTTTTAAATAAATTATTTAATATTAAATAATAATATCAATTATATCTTTTTTTTAATTATACAATTGATGATACTTTCAATGGATTATATATATATATATATATATATATATATTTACTTCCAGTGGATTATATTTATAACTTATCAAATTAGAAGAATAATATTTATTTTTAATGGAAACCATTTTTATTTGAATTATAAATTAATACTAATTTCAGAAGAAATCATCATGTCCACTTAAGATATGTTTGAAAGTGATGGTAGGATGAGTGATTTTTAAAAAAGAGTTTTAAGTATAATTAATTTTTCAAAATAACCTTTCAAATGATACTTTAAAATCAATTTAAGGTGATTTTAAACTTTCCTAAAATTAAATTTTTAATTTGTCAAGTGTGCTTAGTAGTGATGGTAGAATTAGTAATTCTGAAAAAAAAAATTTAAGTATAATTGATTTAAAAAGACTTTTCATGTCATTCCCATTTAGGTCCGATTTTGATCTCAATTTAAGGGACACTGATTTTAACAACGACAAAAGTAATTTTGATTACTCCCAAATACACCTTAAGGTTTAAATTGTAATCCAAATTTTCTTCTTGATATATTCGTCTTTAGGGAAGAAGATTTTAACTATATATATATATATATATATTTTGTAGTAGTGGGCGTGAGGGATAACTTACAATCTCTTGGTTGAATTAATTAGGTTGAAATAATAAATTAAAATTTTCAGATCTGGAAAAAGGAATTTCTAATTAAATCTTAATTTAGAAATTTAATTTTCATTTTTTAGATTATATAATTAATTTTCATTTTTTAGATTATATCTTGTTATATCTTTAGGTTTCAAAACCAAATCATTCTCCTAAATTTTGGATTTACACGCTGCCCCCTCCTCCCCAGCCCCACCCTCTCGCCTGCGACTCCCTGTGCGACGGCGAACGGCGAACGGCGGCGCAAACCCCTACGGCGAGGCATCCCCTGCAGCGGCGGCTCAGCAACAACAGACTGGCAGCGCGTTCCTCTCTGTGAAGGAGTCATCACCCGCAGTAGACTTCTTCCACCGGGTGGAATTTTGAAGGTAAACTTGAAATGTCAAGGAGCAACTAAGCTCATGGATTGCTATTCATTGTTCTATAGCTACCTAGACCATTTATCACTGTTAGGTATTTCTTTCAATATTGTTGTGACTTGTGAGTAACAAATGAACTGCATATTCTTTTTCCATAGAAAAAATTTATTAGGATTCAAATGTTCTTTTGAATAACCATGCTGCCTAAAATCTAGTGTGGAGGGGAGAGCATATTCCCTACTTTGCTGTGGGATTGTTTGCTATAATATGTTATTTTAACATATGATTTAACATTTGGTCATCAATAATTCTTGTGGTCTATTGTGGTATGGTATCTGAGTGATTTGAAAAGCTTGAATTCATGTGCACCTAAGGTTTACTTTCCTTGTGTCTTGTGGTTCATGAAAATATATCATAGTGGTATACCATATTCTGTGCCTATTTTATTTTTCAATCAAAATAATTAGAGTAATTACATTTTTGGTTGACATTGCCAAAAATRTTTTACCTCTCGCTTTGATATGCCTTCCTCGTTGTTCCTTTCACTCTCTTCAATAGAGCTTCTCTATTGAAGAGAGAAGCTCATGATTGTATGCTTCCCAATTAGACATTGCAAGACGAAATTTCATGCATCAGTGAGACAGTGCAAGACAAAAGATAAAAAATGAAACTGATGTGGCCTTACAATCCAAAAACACAGCAAAAACCCCAGTCCAACAAAATCAAATCAAATTAAAGGTGACAGAGTGAGATTGATAGACAAGAGAGAGCTGAGGTGAGAGAAAGAGAAATTTTAATATTTTTATGGTTTTAAATCTAGGATATAACTGTAAATCCTATGATGGCCACCTACCTTAGGAATTCATTTCTATGTATTTTTCGGCACCAATGTCTTTTACGCATAAGCTTGCCCAGACACTCACGGATATAAAAAAGAACGTCTAGGATATAATTGTAAATTCATGTTTAAAAGTTCTAATATAATACTCTTTATAAACATAGGGTGTTTCTCTTTGCTTTTTACAAAAATCCCCCTTGGGGTTGGCTTCTTGGTGACGAATGCTGGAGCTGATAGCGCTCAAGTTTGACAACAGTCACTACAGACCATGATGAGCACACTATCGGTGAAAATGGTTGAGTCTTTCTCTCTATTCAGAACCTTTGCAACCTTTCCCTCTTCTCAGCGAGGTTTGCTTTGATCTTTTCGTGCTCTCTATTTTGTACAATTTTTAAAGGATTGAAACTCAGAGTGACACAAATTATGATATTATAGGTGTTCCAAATTATGGGCTTGTTCCATTCTTGCATCAAAATAGAGGATCAAGGGTGAGTTTTTCTAAAATGACATGGAGTTTGGAAAAATGCAGAACACGTGTGGACAATAGTTTGCAAGCCATTTGCCCTGCCTCTGAAGCTTTTGCTCAAGCGGCTGTTGAAGCACTTAAAGCTGGAAAGGTGATCGCCGTCCCAACTGATACTCTCTACGGGCTCGCTTGTGATGCTTGGTACACCATTCCCGCTAACGAGTTGTTTACGCAATTGCCTTTTCTCTTTTTAGTGTTCTTATTCTTTTCGTTGTGGAAATTCGGGTGACAACGCCTTTATTTTATTCTTTTCCTGATGATAAAAGTATTTTATCAATAGTATTACTACCAAAGCCTTCATCTGGGAGGTCTAGGTGGAACAGAACCTCCAAATCTTCCACATTTATTTTTTCGTTTCTTTTTCTTAAATGAGAAATTGAGCTTTCATGATGGACTTCATTAAAAATGAAGGTAATGTTTCCGATCCTTTTTAGTACAATGTTTCTTTTGTGGTGAGAGGTCTTTACTGACGAGTGCGTGTCTCACTCCATTGGTTTGGTCATTGCCATGGGTGGTGAGCGTATGAGTGCTGATGGTAGGTCTCTGGTGGCAGCAAATATTGAGAGTTTTTTGAGTTGGTAGATAGTCTTCAAGGAGAATTGTGGTAGTAGTGAAGAGCAGTTTGGGGAGGTCATCTTACCCAATTCTGTTACTAAGTGGCATCAGTGACAGAGTTAGGGTTGTAATTCGATATCATATACAGTAGGCGGCTCTTCTAGAAAAGATGTCTTTCATTTCTGTGGGAGGATGTCAGTTTTTTTGGGCTTCTGGGAAAAGAGATGTGCTCATTTTGTTTGGGTGTTCCATCACGTTTGAAGGATCATCTTATCCTGTGCATTTCTTCCTGGATGATGGTCCAGTGGTTGGTGTTGGGGTAGGTTGCTGGAAGTTGCAGGGGCAGACAATTCAGCTAGAATGGGCCTGATAGAACGTGTCACTGATGAAGGAGGTGTTGTATTTGTGGATAAGGGAAAGATCCTTTGGTGTGCAACATTCTCTTATTATTTTGTTGATCATCTAGCTCGAGAGAAATAAGAGAATGTTATAGTGATTGAGAGCCCTTGGGAGAGGTGTGATCTGTGGTTGGGTTCCCTTAGGGGTGTTAGTTTCTAAGGATTTCTATAATTATCCTCCATTTCTCATTCTCAGTGGCCAGGCTCCTTTTGTAATCTCTTGTTTGTAACTCCGTGTATTTTCTGTACAGGATAGTTTTGTGGTAGACCTTTGTAGCTTTTTTGTATTGAGTCTGTTTGTATTCTTTCCTTTATCTTGATGAAAATTTGGGTTTTCATCAATAATAATAAAAATAAAGAAATAGACCTTACATAAGATTATATTATGGAACTCCAATGTCAATATTTGTAACCCTGATTTATGCCTAGACAGTTGACTGTTTGAAAAGTAGATAAAATTATCTTTGATTATATTCTCAATTTGTTCCTCAAGATAGTTTGGTCTTTTCAATGATATATTTACTTTTATTCGGTTGCCCGTATCTCTCTTTCTGCCCTATTCTTGTTCTCGAATCCACTATTTTGCATAAAATAGTCATACTATGATTTGGATTCTGGGGGTCAATACTTATGAAATACATCATTGTGTCAGGACATAATACTTACCACACTCTTAATGATCCAAAATTGAGGGATTTTTAGGAAATACATCATTGTGTTAGGCCGAAATTGTTACCCACACTCTTCTGATCTGATAATGGTTATTAACTATGTATCCTTGTTGAATAATCTTGTACATCTTTTAAGACTTTCTTCTTTAGAGGAAGCATATCTTATAATTGTGTCAAATCGAGAGATGTGTTTTTCAGAAAGGAGGGTAACATGGTATTCATTTCAGAAGCGCATATGCAAAATGTTTGAAGAAAATATAAGAGAGATGTTTTCCTGTTTGTGAAGTTATATAATACACAAAGTAACCATCTCTAAACTTAATAATGTTGCATTTTGAATTTATTTAACTGTGGTTTCCATGGGGATTAATTTTGCAGTTCTTTGGAGGCAGTCAATAGGATTTATGAGATTAAAGGACGTAAACTTACGAGTCCTCTCGCCATTTGTGTTGGTGATGTTGCTGACATAACTCGTTTTGCTGTAATAGACCATTTGCCTCCTGGTTTGCTTGATTCTCTCCTTCCAGGGCCCGTAACTGTTGTACTAAAAAGAGGTTTGTATTACAAATCAGCTTCTTAGTGTTTAGGTAATAAATACTGCATTGAGTTTGAAAGTACTTTTGACAATAAACCTTTACGACATTATTTGACTTACAATAAATGAAAAATAAGCAGCTTGAATAATTATTTTTATGTGTAGGGTACTTGATAATTTTTGGCAGGTTATAATAATCTTTTCGATTTTCAGTTCTTTTTATCTGATCCCATATCATTTCAATCTTGACGGCTTGTGGCTTATACTCAACAAGGGAGAAGCAGCTAGGCTTCTTCTCTTGGTTAAAGAAAGACAGGCAGCTGGTTCTTGCTAATAACTTTTTTATCCCTTAATCTCTTTTGAAGTTTTAGTAGAAAATTATTTTCTTCAAAAAGTAATTTCAAAATTCTGCTTTCCTGGTAACTTAGTGTAGGTTAGAGTACTTAGGAGGGGTTTTTCGCCTGTAAAAATTAGATGTTCATTTTATATATCTTTATTAATGGTTTGTTCTGTAAATTGCCACACCTTCATATCCAAGATTATGTTCATTTACATTTTAGTCTCTAACCTTCCTATATTCTGAGTTTTTTACATTTAGGTATTTTGCAGGCGAGTCGAGTACTCTTGAGAAGTCTTTGAACCCTGGATTGGACAGTGTAGGAGTCCGTGTACCCGACTATGACTTCATTCGGCTTATTTCTCGTAAATCGAAGACAGCCTTGGCCCTTACAAGTGCTAATTTAAGTGGGCAACCAAGTAGTGTCTGTATAAATGATTTCGAAAGCATATGGCCACACTGTGCTTATGTATATGATGGTGGCGTTCTTCCTGCTGGGCGAGCAGGTTCTACCATTATCGACCTCACCAAGAAGGGGACATTTAAGATTATCAGAGCTGGAAGGTACGTCTCTTTTCTCATGTTCGTCTATTTCTTTGTAGAATTAGCGAAAAGAGTTCCTACCTGCAATGACTTTGTCCTGTGATTCTGAAGTTGTCCTGAATTTTTCTCCTTTCTTGATTGATTGTCATGGTCTATTTATTACCTTTATCTGCAGTGGAGCTTTGCCAAAGTCCAAGAGTCAGTAGTACTATCTGAAGTCCTTTAATTCTCCTTTAGAGAGTTTCTGAGATGGCATTACGAGTTCTATCCTCTTATCGTTTTGTTTTCATTAAAAAAGAAGACTGATTAGCATTGAACTAGAAAAATATTTGGATTTTACCATCTAGTTTTGACATATAACAAACAATTGACTGTTCCATCATGTAAGTAATATCTTTATCAGTTCAGCTGAGCTATACATTCTCATGTCAGCATTCAAAACCAGAAAAATATTCGGATTTTACCACTTTAATATAACTCGAGTCAATGTATATAAAAAGAGAGAGAGGGACATCAATAATTGGAAGTGTAAAATATATGGAAAGTAAGCCAAGTTTTGGTATTTGATCTTCCTTTTTTGGATAGTGATAGTGGATTAGCCTCGAGGGGTAGCCCAATTGGCAAGGACCTGGGATCTCTTGGTTATTTGGTTTAGAGGTCTCAAGTTTGAACTTTCTGGTAAGCTTGATATAAAAAACGTCCGTTCCTTGGGGCGGGAACGGGTACTCCTAGGTATAGAAGAGCAAAACTCTGACTCCCAGTTTTTTAAATCAATATAACAAGACCTATTAGGTTGAACGGTAACTCTACCTAGTTACTGCTGTTAATACTATATAATGATGTGATAGGTATCTTGTGCAAACTTCGATTGATTCGTTACGACGTAACGTAACAAATGGCAGAAGAAAGTCATATTCATTTTTAAGCTACCTGTCAAATTCTTTTTTATGTAGACTGCTATTTTGTTTTGTTTGGCTCTCAACTTTCTGGGATTTAATCATGATAAAAATTGTTGGTTGTGGCTTCTGTTTCTTTGAGTACCAAATATTAAACTCTGCCTATGAATCATGATGATTTTTTTTTTTTTTGTTAACATTTGCAGTGCAAAGGATCTGACTGTTGCAACCCTTGAAAGGTATTCCCTGTTGGAAGAAGCAGCTAATTAATATTTGAGCATCACAATCATGCCAAGTTTTTCCAAACATGTGTTAATTATTTTAGAGGTTTCTGAGTTTTTTTTTTCTTTTTTTTTTTCTTTGAGGCCGAGTAAAAGTGAAGATGAGGCCTATGGCTTTATTACCACTCCATTTGTAACAATTATATTGCACTTTTTTTTTCTAAAGTTGTGATTTTTATTTGTATGATTATGTAACATTTTGATTATTTGTCAAATTTACTATACCCAATGATGAGAATGACTTCATGGAATGAGAATCAACTTCAATTTTATGTATAGATTTTGGATCATTGTACACAATTAGTACCATTGTTTAACTCGTTTTAAAAACTTTTTTCTAAAGTTTGACTCAATTTAACTAATTAATGCATTCATGTGTGGAATGAATTGTGTAAAAAATAAATTTGAAATCAAATACAATTATTTAGCACATTTCAGGATTATAGAAATGTTACTTAACACAATTAATTTCCCCTCAAATTAAACTAAGAAATTAATATAACAATAAATTCCAGGCAACCTTATTAAATTCTATGAACTTGAATGATCATGTAAAAGCAATTAACTTTAACACAATTGTCAAAATGAGGATGTAAGTTCGATCCTCACCCCACATATTATATTAACAATGAATTTAAGCTTAAATTAAACTAAGAAATCACTATAATAATAAATTTCAAGCACCCTGATTAAATTTTTTGAACTTGGATAATCATGAAAAAGCAACTAATTCTAACACAATATTCTGGCCAATCAATAATAGTTCCTATTTGTACTAAAAAAAAATAATAAATAAATGTAGTTACTAACAACTAATGTCATGAATAATAATAGAAAATTAACTCCAAAAACCAAAATATATGTTTGGTCAAATTTGACCTACTCCTTTCTCCAACTTGTTTTTAGATATTTTACCATATTACACAAGTTCAAACTTACAAAAATTTTGTAAGAAAAATAAAAGAAAACACGACTATAAATAAATTTGAACCAAGAGAATAAGACAGAAAATAGTGAGAGAGGAAAAAAGAGGCATATTTAACAAACAGAAAATGTGAGATAGGAAAGGTAAACAGACTAACCAACTATACAACAACTTCTAATACTACCCTCAGGTAATAAACGCCTAAAATCCCTATCTTGGATAACAGAGGAAAGAGAAGACGAGCAGGAAGAGCTTTTGTATAGACATTAGCCAGTTGGAGATGAGAACGTATGGGAAGCAACTTGATAAAACCATCAGGTTCACAATCAAGCTCGATATGCTTTGTACGTTCATGGAATGAGGGATTAAATGCAATATGAACAGCAACCTGATTATCACAAAATAAGAGAGCTGAAGGAGTAAATGGTATATGCAAATCAGATAGTAGATGAGACAACCAAACTAGTTCACATGCAGTGATAGCTAAAGCACGATACTCAACCTCGGCCGAAGAACGATAAATGGTGGACTGCTTCTTTGATTTCCAAGAAACCATAACATCATTGAGAAAGACACAAAAACCCGTAGAAGATCGGCGAGTGTTAAGACACGATGCCCAATCAGAATCTACAAACACTCGAAGTTGAAACGATGATGAACCTGGTAAAAAAAATACCTTGTCCAGGAGATAATTTTAAATATCTCAACAAATAAAGGGCCGCATCCATGTGAGCCTTGCAAGGCTTAGCAATCTATTGAGTGAGCCTATGTAATGCAAATGTAATATCAGGTCGTACTTCAGTATAAAAGTCTGCCAATAAAACGATGATAGGTAGAAGGATCTGAATGCAAGTCTGAATTAGAAGACTGGAGTCGCAAAAGAGGATCCATAGGTATAGTAGATGGCTTACAACCATGTAGTCCATAATCTTCAAGTAATTGCAAAGTATAGTGTCGTTGAGAAAGACAAATACCAGAAGAAGACCAAGCAAGCTCCAAACCAAGAAAAAACATGAGAGAGCCCAGATCCTTCAACTTAAAATGACCATGTAATGCTACTTTCAAACGCTCAATATGAGGAAGTGAAGCACCTGTAATGATGATGTCATCCACGTATATTAATAGAGCAATGAAGTCAGTATCATGACCACGAACAAATAAATAGTAATTAGCTTTAGACTGAACAAACCCAAACAAAATAAGAGTCTCAGAGAATTTTGCAAACCACTGTCTGGAAGCTTGTCTTAACCCATAAATGGACTTATGTGATCGACAAACTAAACGCTCCCCCTTAGTATTAGCATTGGGCACTAGTCGATAACCTAATGGAAGATACATATAAACTTCCTCAAAGAGATCCCTATTGAGAAAAACATTATTATCATCCAACTGAATTAGTGGCCAATGAGATAGTAAGGAGCACCTTAACGGTAACCATTTTCCATTTTAGCAACTGGGGAGAAGTTCTCAATAAAGTCCAACCCTTCTTGCTTTATGTACCACTTGGCAACAAATTAGGCTCTATAAAGTTCAATAGAACCATCTGCATGATGCTTAACTTTGTAAAGACATTTGCATCCAATAGAGTATTTTCCAGGCAGTAGAGGAACTACAGACCATGTATGATTAGGTGAGCCTGGATAAGCTTAGCAATGTATTGAGTGAGCTTATGCAGTGCAAATGTAATATCAAGCCATGAAATAGTTAAGTATAAAAGTCTGCCAATCAAACGATGATAGGTAGAAGGATCAAAATGCAAGTTTGAATTAGAAGACTAAAGTCGCAAAAAAGGATCCATAGGTATAGTAGATGGCTTACAACCAAGTAGTCCATAATCTTCAAGTAATTGCAAAGTTTAGTGTCGTTGAGAAAGACAAATACCAGAAGAAGACTGAGCATTGCAAAAACTTGAGAGAGCCCAGGTCCTTCAACTTAAAATGATCATGTAATGCTACTTTCAAACGCTCAATATGAGGAAGTGAAGCACCTGTAATGATGATGTCATTCATGTATACTAATAGAGCAATGAAATTAGTATCATAACCACAAACAAATAAAGAGTAATCAACTTTAGACTGAACAAACCCAAACAAAATAAGTCTCAAAAAATTTTGCAAACCACTGTCTGGAAGCTTGTCTTTAACCCATAAATGGACTTATGTAATCGACAAACTAAACACTCCCCCTTAATACTAGCATTAGGCACTGGTCAATAACCTAATGGAAGATTCATATAAACTTTTTCAAAGAGATCTCCATTGAGGAAAACATTATTAACATCCAACTGAATTAGTGGTCAATGAGAAGATACAACAATAGTAAGAAGCACCTTAACAGTAACAATTTTAGCAACTGGAGTGAAGGTCTCAATAAAGTCCAACCCTTCTTGCTTTGTGTACCCCTTGGCAACTAATCCGGCTCTATAACGTTCAATAGAACCATCTACATGATGTTTAACTTTGTAAAGACATTTGCATCCAATAGAGTATTTTCCGGGAGGTAGATGAACTATAGACCATGTATGATTAGCTTCCATGGCATCAAGTTCCTCACGCATGGCAGTTTGCCAATGAGGAAATGGCATGGCCTGATGATATGATTGAGGTTCAAAGTGGAAAGAGACTTGGAGAACAAAAGAACGAAAATTGGGGGACAAATGAGAGTAAGAAATAAAGTGTTGCAAATAGAATCGAGTAGAAAAAGAAGGATGAGAAGAATTCGATAAAAGGTTGCAATGATATTGTTGAAGGTATGTGGGAGGTTTATAACTATGGGTGGAGCGACGTAAACATGGTTTTGAAGGAATCATGGTGGAAGGATCAGTGGGTAAAATATGTGATTCTTGCATAGTATGGGTGTGGGTGTGGTCTTGAGAAAGTGCAGGTGGTTGTTCAATAGTAGGTGAAACAACAGGAGGTGTGTAACGACCCGACTTTTTGGACTTAGACTAACTAAGGATGTTACTACGTACATGCTTTCAACGTTTTAAATTTAACAAAATGGTAACTAACAAGAACATCGTAGTAAAAATTTCATAACTTACTAAATAGTTAGAAACCTTTATTTGGGATTAAAAAAAAAGTAAACAAGATGAAACATTTCTAAAAAGAGGAAAAAAAAATAATACCAATAGTAATTAAATTGTGAATAAAATGAAAACTTTGTCGCTAAATCTTAAAATAAAAGTTGAACATAATTCAGTATGGAATGCAGAAATAGAATTATGCTGACACGGTCCCCATGGCACACTCAGCAAACGGTCTGTCACTTGTCTCATATGTTCTTGCCATTACCTAAAAAAAATAGAATTAGAGTGAGTATTAAAAATACCCAGTAAGTAACCCCGCTATTAGGGTCAGACATGCATACACAAACGACATGAACATGTGAGACCTAAATCTTTATTTAGTCAAATTATTTTCCTTTCATTTTCCTTTTCTTTTTTTGGCAAAAGTAAGCAATTCAACCTTACACAAACAATACCAACTCCATTATGGTACATAAGTGAGTTTCTTGGGAGACTCTACCCCAACTGAAGGTAGTTGGCACCTAGTCAATAGAGCCAAGTCTCACCCACTTTTAGAGCCTCAATTTCAGTCTAGTCTGTGCATTAGAGTCAATGTTTTCGAGGTGCACCCGGGCGCTCGTCTCAGGTGAGAGGCGAGGCGTTTTCGCCCAGGTGTGCCTCGCAAAGGCGCTCGCCTTTGGGCGCATTGGCGCGCCCGTCGCCTGAGGCAAGGCGATCTCCTCCTTCAAGGGGGCGATCTGTCTTTTTTTTAT